GTGTGTTTTCTTTATATATGCATACCCTTGTATTGTTGCAGTTACTTTCTTTATGTGCCTGCCCTGTGTCGAACGTCGCGAGTGTCTAAATCATGTGTTATAGTTTTGTGTAGTGGTTGATGTACGCGGGTATACGATGTTTACAGTTAGTAATAAATTAAGTGAATCAGTAAACAGGAACAGGTCGTAGCGTCTCTTACTTCCCGGCCCCAGCATGAATCCCTGTATGTAGGAAGTGACTGAGACACAGAGCCAAGAGGGAACCAGATAGACAAGGGGTTGAGTGGTCTTCCCTCTCTTTGGTAATCGGTGGCGTAGCGGGGGACGTCTCATCTCTAGGCAAACCGGCTGTGTGCAAAGTGCTTCGCTTTCTGGAGGGGTCATATAGGGGGTGTGAGGTCTGGTGTCGCAGGCCAGGGGGGTGAGTCTTTGTCACAGAAGGGTGCGGTTCTCAAAGAGCCGATTCTCGGGAGACGATAATCCCGGAGTAAGGACATCCGTTCTGGTAAGAAGATTGTGGTCGGTCGCCGCTTTTGACAACCAGCTAGGTAGTCCCCGGCCAGCGAAGTACCGGCAGCCGACATAAGGACATCCGGTGTATCAACACCCATCCATCTAGATTAGAGTCCACGGAACGGCTGTCACGCTGGACAGCGTAGTCATCTCGCAGTAATGGCAGGGGGCCCGCAGCCGGACGGTGCCACCATTGTGTGCGTTCGCACAGTTCGCGGAACGTAGTGTGCAGGCCTGTCCTTTCGTCTCTCTCTGACCAAGAGGTCAAGTGCTTGAATAACAGAGGGAGAGGAGAGGACTGCAACAAGTGTGTTTCAGTATATCCAATAAACGGACTGAATTGTTTTGGTTGGCCGTGAGGAGAATTGTGAGGGGCAACCGAGGGGTTAAAATCTGGCTCCCGTTTTCTCACGGTCGTTCTGGTCGCAGCAAACAGTGCTCTGCACTATCGGCTCTGCCGAGGCAACATGCGACGGTTCCAACGGTGAAGAGTCTTGTAAATATGTACATAGGTTCGTGTACATAAAGTCGAGTTGTTGCAACGTATCGAAAGGTGCTGGTCCCTATCCCTGAACAAGTAGCAGCAGCCACGATGAGACGAAACGGACACCAAGCAACCAACCTTCCACTCCCTTCTATAGCAACAGCAGCTACGTGGCTGAGAGAGCTCTGCTCAAGGAAACAGAGGAAGTGGGTAGAAGGTTGAGTTTTACTGGGGGCAAGCAATTACCGTATTTACTCGCATAATAGGCACACTTTTTTTTCAGAAAATCCGGCTCGAAGATAGGGGTGCGCCAATTACGCGGGGTAAAATTGGATAACTTGCCGCATGAAACGAGTTGTCCATCCGGAGCTGGCTTTGAACTCTTTTGGTTCAATGCCCTGCGCTCGGGCTATTCTGCGCGCCTCAGTCTGCACAATATCCAACGACACAGCACAGCCGTCTTGTCGTAGCTCCAGTATATGCCGGACCAGCTGCTCTTCGACGTTCGAAAACCTGCCGGTCTTGGCACCGCGGAAAGCCCGTCGTGTCTTCTTCGTCGCCTTAAGTTTTTCTTCTTGGTCCCTCCAGTACCGAATACTGGTTTCTCCAACGGCGAAATAATGCCTGCTTGTAGCCCGGTTGCCGTGCTCCAGCGCGTACTGCACTGCCTTCAGTTTAAACCCAGCCGTGTAGCTCGCGTACTTCCCCATGGTGGAACCAAAGTTCAATACATGACCACAACATACGCACACCGCTTGCAAAATGGCGTTTCTTTCTTTTTCTCTGATGGTGGTGATGGCGATCGAGCCCTTGGCGTTGTACACGTGACCTCCAAAAAGCGCGGCGATTTGGGGGGTATAAGTAATTGATGGAACAGCCGTTTTTTTTTTTTTCGCTCGTGGACGCTTTTTTTTTCAAGTTTTATTTGGACAAACACGTTAGTTAGGTTGTTGCACTTCGAATTTTTTTTATTTGCTCGTCGATTTGCCTTCTTTTTTTTCTTCAAGGTACGGGGACCACGTTCCAACTGTACCGCTGGGAGGTAGAATCGTTTCTGATCACGGCCAAGTTCGGGGTGTGCCTATTATGCGCGGAATAAAAAAAAATCGAATTTTCCGCGACCAAACTAGGGGTGCGCCTATTATGCGAGTGCGCCGATTATGCGAGTAAATACGGTAGTCTTGATGGCAAGGCAGCCACACCATCGTCGTGGCATTTTGGAGGTACATTCGTACGCACCGTTCATGCTGTACGTGCACTGGCGTACAAGAGGTGTTTCGAAAGTCTCTAGTCATTCAAATCTCCATACGGATATCGAACACTGAGCGTGCAGATAAGTCATTCAAATCTCCATACGGATATTGAACACTGAGCGTGCAGAAAGTATTTTGGGCGTTGCGATAGTGCATAGTCCTTCGAAATGGCAAGCCCACCGCTAAAGCTCCTCGAAAATGACGTCGAATTGTATCTTTTGAGCTTGAAGAGATTATGGTCACTCCAGGTGCAGACGCGGTTTTCGTATTGTCAATTACCTAAAAGTGAAGCAGACATTGATAGCCCAGAATGTTTATGGGCAGTCTGGAGATGCCTGATGATAGCAAGCGCCAGCGACTGTGCCCTTCGAGCGGTGCAGCCTCCAACCCTCCAAAATGAAGCAACGTGAAGCAATGAAGTAGATAATGTGATTTTGTTTCTTAACCGTCAGCTATTGACCCTGGAAAGTGAGGTGCAGATGTGTAACATGACATAGCCGTTCCAAAGTGAGCCTTTCAGCACCAGGGCCAACAGCGATGGGCCCAAGTACTAAAGAAAGCTGCGTGTATTAAAACTGAATTGCGGCAGCTCCGACTAGGAAGTATGCTTTTTATTAATGAGATGACATTTTCATTATTGAGATGAAATTTTATTCATTTCATTCAGATGACATTTTCATTAATGAGATGAAATTTTGAATTCGGACCCTAGCCCTGACGTGCTCGAAAGGGTAGGTTTTAGGGGCATTTACCAGAGGAGCGATTACGAACGGGGATGTGCTGATAGAAGGAATTCTGAAAAAGCTTTTTAGGATGAATATTCATGGATAAGCTATACTTGAGGAAAAGTGTCAACGTGTTCCCACCTTTCAAGAGTTTTTCTGTAGACTTGAAGCAAGGAAAATTAGATAGCAATGTCCAGAAATAGACGAAACAGACATTCTGGCGGTACAAATGTGCAGTTATTAGTGAAGATTGCTTTAGCTACATGCAGTGCAGCTATTCTAACAAGCTATAACCAGCATTGTTTAAAAAGATGACGTGCGCTGATGAATCCGCACCGCAGTTACACGCTACCTATTGGAATAGACGTAACGAGCCCCTAGCCGCAGAGAGCGCGTTTTGGTGTTTGCTGTTTAGCTGACCAGAGCAACAGCAGTTGCGTCAGCACCAAGCATAGCATCGTCAATTACCTCGAACGCACGCACGGCCACTGTTTATTCAGTGGAATAATTCTAGGTATGTGGTTGTGAGTGTGTTGGCCCTAAGAACAAACTTCACACGTTTTGACTCACTGCCGTGGCTGTTGCCAGTGATAGACGCTCCCAAATCCAGCTTTGGTGCAGTTTGGTGCAATTTCCGTTAATATTATCAGGATGGCATAATAAATCTGATTTGGTGCACTTCGGCACAGTTGGCGCAGCAGTACAGGGCCCCCCACCAGCCTCTCGTAACACAAAAAACGAGCGCTCTTCCGGAATTCCCCGTCTTTCTTGCACACTTTGTGATGCAAAGAGTGATTCCCATGACGTTTATAGTGTACATGCTCTCGATTGGTCCATACACGCGGAATATCAGATGTGAACATGGATCCGCCCAACTGTTCTTCCTTGTCTAGCATGACTATCATGCACGATCACCTTAGTTCACCTCATTTTGTGTGTTCATAACTGCGCAAGCGGCGATAACAACGCAAAGTCCTGAGACTCGAGCGCTTAGTGCTGACATTGTTCACACACTCTTAAGAAATAAGTGGCGAGGTGGATAGATCTTCAGTGTGAAGAGTAGCAAGGGCAAGGAGGAACCACTCCTTTGTCATTGAACGTAGGGTGGTGAGGGTGGGCTTTTTTAAAGTACTGACACAAAAATTTAATATGGTGTTATTCTACTGCCGTGGCTGGCTAATGACCCATTTACCACAGCTAAAAGCCTTGTTTACTTTAGCATGTGCCATTAAAATATTTCAAGCTGCTTTGGTGGTGCTCAGTTGCAGTTTCAGTGTCCCAAAACTAATCGGAAAGGGAAGTCAAGGAAAGCAGCAGGCACTGAAGTCAGAAAGACCAACCCTTCCCAATTGAATATTAGAGTGCGTAAGTTGCGCATGTCATAGAAATTTTTTGACCTCGGTGATCAATAGTACTCCTTTGTGTACACAGTGCTAGCCTTCTGTCTCATTCTCTTTGTAGAACCAATTCCCTTGTTTCCAGTGCCAGTTGACCTCCCTACATTTTTTACATTTCTCTTCCCTACATTTCTCTTCTTGCTTTGTCTATCTACACCCTTCAATTTTCCCTAAACTCTGCAAACATGCATTGTGCATAACATTGCCTATAAATCACTTTTCAGATGCCTAACATTTTATTATTTCATTGTCATAGCTTGATTTGACCTCTCGATAAGCTTTCGTAATTCTGTTCAGGCATCTGCACAAATATTCTGCTTGCATGCCTAGTGACCACGCCTTGAATAGACAACCTGAAGCTGAGGCATTACATGGGGATTACAATGCACAGTTGGAATAAGAGCTGGACGGTTAAAAAAAGTGTTTTTTGAGGTACGTGTTGTAACTGTACACTATAACAAACAACACACACGCATAAGCCCCTCTGTTGTTTGAGCCAATTATACCCAACTGCAAAGCTACAACACACGTACCTACTTCTCTCAGAAATATTAAAGGAGATGTCACATGCACAAGACTACACAATCTAATGGGACAAGAAAATGAAAGAGTATAGAAAAAGGTTTACCAGATGTGCCAGTTCAAACCCAAACTTTTTCATGGTCTTTGCAAATCCTTCAGTTGTTGAAAACCTGCTCTTCACCTCTGCAATCTTTAACATACCACTGCAAGAAAAAACAAGGATTGCACATTAGCAATTCAGCCATATATTTACAAATTTGCACTGCCATTACGACTGTGCAAAAGGAGAAACGAGGTTATAGGAAATGCAGTTTCTTGTCCACATTAGAATCAGTGACAGAGCACATACCTGCCGAGTCAAGCTGGGTAAAAGTTAATTATCACTGGGCATATTACTTTTGAAATAACAGAGGGCTGAGCTAGCTCACAGGGATTCGTGTTCAAAGACAGGACATGAAAACAACCGAGAAGTCAGGAGCACACAAACACCATTATTTGTGTTGGCCTGACTTTTTAGGGATGAAGCTCCTAAAGGCAAGGGTCTGTCCCTCCTAGCTTGTCATGGTACACGACTGCCTAGTTCGATGACTGACTCAACAGGTGCGGACAGACAGACGGACGGACAATTCACAGTTTACCGATACAACCCTCCGAAGCTTCGCCCCACTCATCATCGTTCACTCCATGGGTATGCTGTGAATTTTTTTCTTGTGCCCCTTTTGCGTGCAGAGTCTTATAGCATAATCGAACTATTGCATATGTCAAAGCTCACCAGTAAATTACAAAGGATATCGTTTTATGATGCACCATGTCCTCAGCCTGACAAGTAGTCTCGTCTAGATATGCACTGGGTTTGTCAGAGCATCACCGTGGTAAATATTTTATTTCAGCCCACTGCAAAATATACCAGTCGTTAGCAGTGCTTGTCCTGTTGTTTCGAAGGTCTTTCTAGCACTAAAATGAAGATTACATCATACATAGTTTCATTAAAAAAGTTACAGGCCTTTCAACATTTACTTTTAATTATCTTTTTTTAATGATGGCCCAATTCCGAATACACTGCACAACCTCCTTTCACATTATCGAATTCTACATTTTTTTGGCTGTTGGGTTATTTTCGGCAGCCCCAGCATAGCTCCTACAGGATCCAGTGCATCAATACTTTGCAGTCACATTATATCTGAGGGAACCTTCCCGCAACGTATGTTGCAAACCGACCATCTGAGATGGCACAAGTGTCCATGTTGACTTTTCATGTCGCTTGGCTTGATCCGCTTGGTGGCTTGACAATCACATTGTCTACCAGAGGTGGCCAAGGCAACATCCATGATGCACTTTAAAATTCTACCACCACAAACGCAACCTCCTAGATCGACATTCTTCATCCAAACATGGTGTCTACGGCATCTTTCGGTGCTAGAAATCGGTTTTGATTCATTCAGTACAAGTACAGACTTTGACATCAGTTTCTGTTGCCCAGTAATAATAAACTGACATGAAGCCTTATATTTAACCCACCCCCTTTTGCAATGCTTTGCATCAGAAGGTATCTATTCGAAATAAATTAATGAGTGACTAATGCAAGCATCAAGACTGAGCTACTATTTTGCACTTACCCCTTTTTTAATATGCGGTTTGCCTCCAGAACAAACATGTTCAAATTTGTTCCCATCAATGAAAGGCAAAACACCGCAACGTCAACAGTTTGACTGGGCAGTGGAAGCTGGAAAGACAAAATTAAAAAGATTTTGATTGCCTGCTGATGTTGTTCATAAACCTGTTACACAGACCTGCATAAACATGATAACACGAATGTGCACGAGACGATTTTGCTAACGTGACAACAATTCAACACAGCAGTATTTTAATGACCTGCATTTTGGCACACTTGAACACAAGAAAAGCTTAAGAAAGTCTACACAGTAGCCACAAATATGCGTAACCATCAAATCGAGCTTACTTTTTAAGAGGTGTTTTTAAAAGCTCTTTTGCATATTCAAAGTAGTGCAGCCTTCTCGAATTATTTTGCATTTCTATTGCATCTTTCATAAAACTTGCTTCTTCTGTGTGCTGTGCAGCTTGCAGTCTCCAACTTTTAACACATGAAACCTTTTTGTTTAACTACAGTTAAACAGAAAAAAAGCTTAAGATATTACACTTTTATTCTATCCAGTGTTTTATATGTTGTTCCTTATATAATGTCAGGCCTACTCTACAACTTCAATAACTCCATACAACAATTTCTTACTGTCACAAACACAGATGGATAACAAATGCACGAATCTTCAGCCACAATAGATACAAACAGGAACACTAATGATGTTTACTGTACTGTAGAACATTATGTACTTGAAGTTTACTAATGTGGTATAAACACTTATTTGGGAGACTAAATTTTTATATTCTCCCTCTCACTTTTCCTGTGCATGCATTTTCTGCTGAGCCTGGACTACTGCAGAACTGGGAAAGTAAAAGCCCCCAAAATGTATCCTTAAAAACACATTTAATGAACATGGATGATTGAATATTTCTAGCAAAAGCTCTTTAAATATAGAGTATTTTGGAAAAGTTGGTGCAGTATCATGATTAAGGCATCATTAGCTTTCATGACATTAGAGACCCGGCAACACACCTCTATGTTTTGAACACCTTACTTTTGGATCCTGCCACTTCATTATTCTCCCGCCACAAAATTTTTCTAATTCACCTAGTATGATTGAAGTTATCTACAAGATGACCCTTTTCTTTCTCCTCTTATCATCACGAGTGCTCAGGAAGCAATGCATGGGGATGGCAAAGAACGATTCAGAACCCTGAATTCACTGTGCCCCAAATCACAAATTTCATTTATAGATTTTTTTTAAACACGGTGGCCACTTCTGCTTTACACATGCATGGTGGCCAATGCATGTCGATCCTGCTTGCTGCATAGTTGGTATGCCAATGCACTTACCTTACTCATGTCGCAGACTGTGACATGTTCATTCAAAGCAATAATATCAAAGGAATGGACCTTGTTTCTTGTGAGCTCTTGAGCTATTTTTGCTTCACCACAGCCTAGATCAGCAATGACAGTTGACTTCGGCCTGCAGAAAGCATTGAAATGAGCAACTGGTTTCACCACAGCACGTTCATTAAATAACACCGACTTTTCACACACATCATAACAATAATCAGTGTTATTAGCTTAACTACATGATGCATGTTTAAAATCTAAGTGACAAGTTGAATTCATCATTGACAATCAACACACTGGAATCATGCTATAGAAGCACTTGGTGTCTAGGTTAACTTATCAAGCATATACCAGATTAGCTTAGGATAAACAATGGCATAAATGCGTGAGTAATAATGTGTGAGTGTGAGTAAGAAGCCTACTATTCAGAAGTGATGCAGCCTTGTGGGCTTACTTTGGTAGAGCATTTCACGTGTTAATTCACGCACCAAAGTGCAGTTCTGCAACATTAAAAAGCTTTCTGGCAACACTACAAACAACAGTTCAAAAATTCACTCAGGACATTATGAATACCTAGCAAGAGATATTGAACACAGAAAAATGTGGGTTTGAATTGATGGACAGCATGTGAAGAAAAACCCCGTAAACTAAAAGCCAACATTCTTGGAAGAGACTTGTCTTGGGCACTATCAAAGTTTTTACTCTCAGTTGAGATTTCTTTTGTTAGCCAACTGATGATTATTTTGAAATGCATGTCTGTCATTCAGGATTTCATTAGCTGGTAGCAATGTTTAAACTTGAAACAAAGTACCCTGGCTATAGGAGGTATTCACTGAGCTATGAACAACAGGTGGCCCCAGCGAGTGTATAGACTGGGAAACACATCCAGCCAAGCAGCACCTTGGTTGTAGTTCCAAGATGATGATAGCATGCATGACCACGAGTACGGCAACTGTTGCACTAGCGACTCTCACACATGAGGTCCCGTGAATACATACTATAAAGGCAAACAATGCCATGTCTTCGATCGACATCCTCTGTTACGAGTTTAGCACACTATTTACAACTACAGTGAACATCAAACTTGCCCCAAGCTATATTTCGCTGTCATTCTAAACCGAATGCAGCCCAAGAGATGCAACATAAAAGAAGTGGAATGCAACCTACATGCTACGCAAGCTGTCAATGATGACATCCACAGGATTCACTGGCCACTTCGATACTTGTCGCTCAAAGCCTTCATGGTAAGCCTGGAATGCCTGAGGATCACTTTTTAACGACTCAACTGCGTCGTCACTTGCTGTCGTGTAGAGTTCTTCGTTCAGCATACGAAACTGCGCCGCTCTTATTTTTGACAGTGCCCACTCGCGAACATCAGAAGATGATGCTAGAGCAAATGCCCGTCTCTTCTTACTTTTCGCTTTCCCAGGGGTCAAACTTGGGCCGGCAAGCATGCCAACTCTTTGTGGTCGTTGTGAAACTTTTCTCTGTGAACCAATGTCAATGTTTTGTGCATGATCATCCATCTCTTCTAATGTGAAGTTACTGAAGGACTTTCGTGCTTCTTCTTCTGCTGACGATGGTTCCTTGATCTTTTGCTTCGCATTTCGATTTATAATTTTGTGTTCGTTAGTTGACAATATATTCTTAGAGTATGTATTAGGCTTTTCCCGAGTCGAAGTTTCGCCTTCTTCTGACGACTTCCTTTTCTTCTTTTTTCTTTTCTTCTTTCGTTTATCGCTTTCCGTAACCCCGCTGGCGCTGTCCCGCGACGGACACTTGGCGACTCGAGACGAGCCGGTATCCATTCTGTCTGCTTCGAAGCCACTCAAGATCGACGTGACACCACTTCTAAGCTCTTCGATTAACTGGGACTCGTCTACGTCGTCTCTCGCTTGCCTTTTTGACTGGCAGGCTACTCTTTTCTTACGCCTGCACGGCTGCACAGCGGCGGCACCTTCAACGCCAGCATCTCGGCTTTCTTTCTTTTTCTTTTGGACGATTTCACTCGCCCGGTTGAATCCCTTCCGTTTCCGAGGTGGCTTCGGGCTCGTAACGTCATGATCATGACTAGCTTCTGCCACTTGAGAACGCTTGCATTTCTTACTTACAGAACTCTCCCACTCGCCTTCAACGGGAGAACGCATCTTTCTTTTCTTTTGAGGGGACACCCGTGCGGCATTCATACTTTAACAGTCAAGACTTTTTCACAATCCTCACGCGACAGTACGTTTACAAAGTAGGCACATCGTTGGTAAAACTGCACAGAGGAAATTGCGACGCTACTGAGTACCAGACGTAGGTAGCGGAACAATCATCCACGAAAAAACGCACTAAACCAACCACACCAGACAACGCAACGAAGCATCGACGGCGCCGAATAGTACTAGGTAAGTGTTCTCACGGAACACCTGTGTTCTCTGGTTTTCTGCATTCGCTCACTGCCACTGGACGGGCCCCACGTGTCTTCATTCCTCTATGCGTGTTGTTGTGCATAGAGTTTCTCACAATACTTACTAGAGGGAATTGTGGCGCTAGTGTCTATGAGAGTTGCAACACACGGCGCTTCAGCGAGCATGGGCATGACCTACTACACTCCTGACCTGCCCAGAGAGCACCTCTTCCAGCGCCCACGTTCTAGTTCATACCTTCTGCCGCTAGGGCCGTCACCTACGAGCGGCGTGGCGCTAGGCAGCACCTGTTCGCTGTCGTCTGCTTCAGCCATCGCTGTGGCAGTGCAAATCGTTCTTATTGTGCATGAATTGTGTATGAATGTGTAAAATATGGCAAATAAAGCGATATGATTCCTCGTCAGAGTTGGCTGCATTCGTGTGGACGTTTGAAGCAGAAATAGAACCGTAAAAAAAGCACACAAAGGGTCACAGTGGCAAGCAGACGGGAACTTTTCTACAAATGAAGGAAAATTTATTATGAAAATATTTCTTGAATGAAAACGTAGTCCAACGAGATAAAAAAACTATTGTTAGGCATTCATTGTTCACACTGAATCACGATGGTTCCAGACGATACGCATACACAAATTGCAGAAGATACGCAGAAACACAGTAGGTCGTGTGCAGAAACTTGCAGACGGCAGATAGCTGCAGTAGTCAGCTCTAATAGTGGCCGCGTGCAGTTTTTTTTTTTTAGATGAGCTGACACCTCAAATGTAAGTATGGTGTATTGCTGCGTGCCATATTGCAAATCGGAACAAGGCAAACAAAGTAAAGTAAGTTTTCACGAGTTTCCTGCCACAGACATACGGGAAGAATGGATCGAGGCAATTGGAAGAAAAGGTGAGTCTTGTGTTTTTGAGAGTCGTTTCAATTCAGAACGAGTTGCAAGCTAGCAAGAAGCACCAGGGTGCTTTAGTAAACTTTATTTCCGTGTGTTATGCTAATTCACTGAGCTAAAAAACATGAAAGCTTTTTTAAAGTACCGCGGCTAATATGGCAGGCTCCACAAATAGTGCCAAGAAATTTAAATATAGCACACAAGAAAAAAGTAAATATACGAAATCTGTAAATTATGTAAAAATGCGTAGCGGTGGGTTGCGAGGGGTTCGAGCACCCTTCCCGAAGGCTGCCTCAACAAATGCCGCCGAATCCATAAAAAAATTAATGATATGAAATATTTACGTGCTGCCTCCACAGTTTGTCTCTCTGTGTGTGTGTGTGTGTGTGTGTGTGTGTGTGTGTGTGTGTGTGTGTGTGTGTGTGTGTGTGTGTGTGTTTAGCGATGGACAACTCTTGAACACTGGGTGTCACTGAAGTTA